AACCCTAAACCCTACACCCCAAGCCGTTTCAACCCAGGCCTGTGTCCTTGATCCCCAAAACTCGCAGGCAACTCTCGTGACTCACATCAACTCCTACCTTGGGCTGCAGGAGGGAACCGCAAAACATTGGCTGCACGGTCTAGGGTTTAGGGGCTTGAGGGCTCTAGGGTTCAGGGTTTTAGGGTTTAGGGTTCTAGGGTTCAGGGTTTTGAGGGCTTAGGGCTTAGTTCAGGGTTTAGGGTTTAGGGTTTTAGGGGTTTGGGGTTTCCGGTTGGATGATAAAGTTAAAGGTTTGAGGGTTTAGGGTTTATAGGGAATGTCATAAAAGTAGTGAGTGTAGTGGTATTCTTATTTGCTTCGTGTATAGATGTCTGCGGTGCATTTCGTAGGGAGCATGTGGAAATACGTATACAGGGAGCCCAGTGCAAAGGCAGAATCTAAAGTAGTAGGATCCTAAACCCTAAACTCTAAAACCCTAAACCCCTAAAAGCCCTAAACCCCTAAATCCTAAACCCCTAAACCCTAAAGCCCTAAGCCCCTAAACCCTACACCCCCAAACCCAAAACTCCTAAACCCTAAACCCCTAAATCCTAAACCCTATAGTAGGGATCCTTCTTACCGGGCCGGGCGCTCGACATTCTTTGCAACCTCATGAGCCACATCAAAATCCCACGAGGACCTCATGCGCATCAGACCCTTTTAGGGTTTAGGGCTTACTACAGCAGCCAAATGATCAGGACTATGACATTTATAACCCAAACTGCACGCCCTCAACCCTGAACCCCGAACGAAACCCGAAACCATAAACCCTGAACCCTCGCACCGCCAGGAGCGGGACTTCGCACCATCGATGTTCGAGCCCGGTGTTCTTCTTTGCATCTGAGATCATTCAAAGGATCTACGGTTTAGGTTTTAGGGTTTAGGGTTTAGGGTTTTAGGGTTTAGGGTTTTAGGGCTTCGGGTAGAAGGGGTTTAGGTTAAGGAAGTTAAGGACCCAAAAAGGACATGGGCATAAGCATTTTATATAGGGATATTCCTACTACCTTATTGAGCTTCATTATAAGGGGGCTTGCATGGGATATCCTTATCCTATGTTTTGCTTATGTGGATTCTTCGGGCACTACTATAAGGCCTCCGATAATGAAGCGATCTACAAGGGTTCTTAAGTTTCGCGTTTTAGCGATCTATAAGGATCCTGGATTCTCCGGGCCTTAGTACTTTGAACCGGGTTCCTTGGAAGGGTTCTTTCAAGGGGCTCTACAAGGGTTCCTTTAATGCAGTTTTTGAGTTCTGAGGTACCGTACTTGTTTACTTTGCTTGCAACCTTTACCTGAAAGTAACCGTTATGCACTGAGTTTTTTAGGGTTTAGGGTTTAGGGTATCTTTTCTTCCTTAACACCTCAATTCCCAGGTATGCTTTGCATTCTGCTGTGGGCTTTGTGTGTCTACAAGGACTGCAAGCTCATGTCAAAGCCCTAAACCCTAAACCCTAAACCCTAGACCCTAAACCCTAAACCCTCAAAACCTAAACCCTAAGCCCTAAACCCTATAAACCCTAAACCCTAAACCCTAATACAGCTCCAGTCATCGGATCCCCCGCAACTTCGACCCCCTGCATCGATACCTGAAACTACCATAACCTATTGAGCTGTAGGTTCGTATTACAAAACCCCAGTACATAATTTGTAGGGGCCTTACCAGGCATAGGCTTGGGATGTCTGGGGTCTAGGGTTTAGGGTTTAGGGCAGTTTAGGGCTTAGGGTTTGAATCTCCAGGCCGTTCTACAACGTCCCAGAGGTCCTACAGTGCAAATCCCAAAACTCAGATCAAACCCTAAACCTCATACCCTAAACCCTGAACCCTGAACTCTAAACCCTAAATTCTAAACCCTCTACCCTTAAGCCTAAACCCTGAACCCTAAACCTGAACCCTGAACCTGAACCGTATACCCCAAATGGTCCTGGGTATCTCCTTGTCCTTGGCCTCGGAGAAGTACTTCGTGGCCTTTGTCGTCGTAACCGCAGTTTTAGTCGTATTCGTACTAGTAGCAGAGAGAGTTGTAGTCGCCGTCGTGGTTGTCGTAGCCATAATCATAATCGTAGTCGAAGTCGTCGTAGCAGGAGGAGGAGGAGGAGGGGGAGGAGGAGGAGCAGCAGTAGTAGCAGCAGCAGCATCGTGGTGGCAGCAGTAGTCGTCGTTGTGGTACTATCAGCAGTGGAAGTAGGCAGTACATGTAAGGACTAAGTGGTAAGTGCATACTTGTGGGTAAGTTGGTAGGCAGGGCAGCCAGGCAGAGAGAGTAGGTAGACCCCGGGATTATTGGGACCCTGAGCCCAATCAAAACTGAAGTTTCATGCCCATGACAGGAATATCGAAGAATCTTTTTGGAGCTGGAGGCTGCTATCGGAATCCCAAAGTCTCGGAGAACTGTCTTCCGCCAGAACGCTTTCGTGAGTATATCATGGGGCCGTTTCCTAATGCTGCTGGTGACGTCTTTGGCAAGAGCCCTTATAGCTTCCGTCCTCCTGGTTGCTGGCATCCTTTGGTTGGCACGCACTACATCCATACAGGAACTGATGTTGAATGCTGTTGCTCTAAACGCCATCTTGGATGTCGATGAGTTCCTCTTTGCAGGTATGGTGCCCATCAAGACCCAACACTTTATAAAGGAGCTCCAGCCCATCCATGTGAGGTACAGCCGGATTCGGAGTCAGTTCGAAACCTTGGTGCATTGTATCTCTTTGTTGCTGCTTGTTTTCACTTCCTACTTCCTCCTCTTGGCACCTCTGAGTGACACGATGCTCAGCGTGAAGCACGAGCTCTGCGGCGGCAACCAGACCTTCGTAGCTGCCTTCAACCCAGATACACAGTTCCTTGGCGTTCTTCTGCTTGGCTCCTAGGACTGTACCTGTTTTGGATGTCTATATATGTAAACTATACCAAGTAGGCAGCCTAAACCCTAAACCCCTAAGCCCTAAACCCGCCAAGGTTTACCTTCGGGAAGGTCACAGCCGATTCCCGCTATGCGCGGGACCTCTCTAGCACCGAAATGGCGGTGCAGGCCCAGGTGCTGGCTGGACCAGCCGATCGAAGTAGACTACTAAGATTCTGGGTTCCTGTTAGAGGATTTAACTGAAGCAGCCATAACAAAGAGACTAAGTTTCTGGGTTCTTGTTAAAGGATTTAACTTGAGCTACCGAAAATAAAGAAGCCATAGGATTTACTAGAGATCCCTAATTGTTATGGCCTAAACCCTAAACCCTAAACCGAATTCCTTAGCAAGATCCCAGGATTCTCACCTACTGTGGATCAGTTTCAGGAAGATGTAGCACGCACTATGAAGGAGGAGGCTGCTCTTTATCCCTTCTGCACGGAAACGATGATCCTCGGATGCTGTTACAGGGTTTAGGGTGTAGGAACTGTTGGTCTCCCCACCTAGAAGACCTAAGACCTAAAGAAACTCTCATTATCTAGACGAGGGAAACCTGTGAATGAGGTTGGGGTAGAATGGTTACTTGAAGGAATCCTCATCACAACGTTTGCTTCGTTCTGAGATGACCGCCACATCTCCAGACTAGGCAAGACTTCGTGTTTATGGCTTTGCCCCCAGGGTCCAGGTACGTAGAAGCACGAGGGCTTAGGCTAGCAGTAAGGTAGGTCTGTACCTTGGGTGAAGATATGAGTATTCGGTACGTAGGCCTTTGGGGTTAGTGTGCAGGCTTCCGAACCCTAAACCCTAAACCCAAACCTCAATTATCCATCCCGAAGATTCCAAGTACCTAATAATCATATACTCTCCCGAATATGAACCTAGTTAATTACCATCCGCAACCTAAACCCTAAACCCTAAACCCTTATATAAAGTACCTTATTATTGGCCCCTTTGGACCTTCAGGGCATCGCTTGAGGGAACCAGCACTTATCTAGTGAAAGCTTTGAATGCGATTCGAGGAAACACTACCCATAGGCTCCATAGTAGTTCCTTTTTGTGGCTCATATTGGGGATCCTATAAGGTCATCCCCAAAAGGAACTACTATGGAGCCTATGGGTACACACTAGCTGCGGTTTCAGGGAATATTTTGGGAAAAGTGGGGACTAACCCTTACCCTCCAAGGACTCATATTTTAAGGCTTCCGGGCCCAAAGACCGTATTTTATTTTATAAGGCTTTTGGGCTATTCTGATGCTAAGGGTAAGTTAAGTGAAAGCTTTGGACCTGAAGTCCCTTCGAGGATACGCTAAACTCTAACTACGCTTTCAGGATCACAATGTTTCCCCGGTTGGGATGAGGCTAGACACTAGCGACTGCTTCAGGATCATGCAGGACCTAAACCCTAAACCCTAAACTTTAGGGTTTAGGGTTCAGGGTTTAGGGTTTAGGGTTTAGGGACCCTAAACCCTAGCGAATGCTACAGGATCATGCAGGCTGATGGGCCGTTCTACGACGATGAATCTTTACAGGCAATCGCGAGGCAGCTTCTCAACAATGCAGCAGCGACTTGGCAGTTCCCGAAAATAAGGGGGGTACCTCATTTCAGGGTCCTTATAACAAGGATCCTACTATTTAGGGTACGATATAAAGGGTCCCCTATTTTCGGAAACCCCCACTTGGCAGTTTCAGTAGACAGGGGACCCGAACCTCAAGAAACACGCCTTACTTTAGGGTTTAGGGTTCAGGGTTTAGGGTTTAGGGTACAATAGGGACCCGTACAAAAGGTGCCCCAATTATCCGACAACCCGCACTTAGTTCTTCGATTCCCATTCTGCATTTTGGTGCCCTCATGTTATTGTACTCTGCAAGAGTCTAAAATCTTGCTTCTTTGGGCTAGGGGAAATGAGGCAAGCGTCGGGCGTGTCGATGCGCAAAGTTGTCATGAATTGCGCGATTTCTGTACTGGCCCCGGCGCGCGCTTGGTGCGGCTGGTTTGTGGGGATCCTTGGATGCTGTTTAATGCAAATGTAAGGGTCTGAACAATTTCTCGTAGTATTCCGTTTTGCAGTTTCACTATTCACCAACAACCTAGCTCCCAGCCAGGATTTCGCAACAATTCCTGTTCCCTTTTGGGATTCCCTCTTCCTTATCATGAGAAGGATCCTGTCAGAGCCTAAAAAAATTCTATTCCGACAAACCCCTAAACCCTAAGCCAACCCTTCCGTTTTTTACAGTTCCGGCTCTGAGTCGAAGCACAAAAAGGTTCAGGGCTTCCTAGGTTTCTGAGTAGTACCCTTTTGCCCTTTTATTTTGGGGTCTCCTTATTGAAACCGAATACGAGGAAAAAGGGTACCCTTATTATTATGGGGTCACTCAGGAACCTAGTTTCTAAGGGCTTATATCCTAGCTGTGATAGGGAGACCCCTTAAAGGGGACCCTTCTGAACCCTTCTTGTGGCTCTCTTAAAGGGGACCTTCTTGAGAGGGTCAATATCCCCCAGGGTCCCCCTAGTCCTAAGTCCCATTTTCGGGCGAGTGTGAACCCTGAAGGCCAGGAGTGCCGCTATGCTAACTCCCAATTTGTAGCTTTCTGACATGAGCCACGATCTGGAACACCTGCCACTATCATCCTCATAACATACCCAAAGGCTCCATGTACCTTTATAATAGCTACTTAGGTCTTAAAGGGGTCCTACTATGAAGGTACATGGAGCCTTTGGGATAGCAAATGTTTCCCGAAACAAAGAACGTTTAGGGTTTAGTTATTTTTAGGATTACATGATGTAAGGTTTGAAGTTTAGGTGGCTTACATAGCTACTACGCTGAAATCGCCAAAACCCCGGCACCCGCTTAACTCAAAATAACCCACCTTATTCAGGACTTACGGAAGGAATTCACAATACCCTGAACAGGTACCCTAAACCCTAGACCCTTAGGCCCTAAACTGGTTGTTCACGGTGCGGCTTCCATAGAGGGATTCATAGTGGGAGGGTATAGGGCCCCTGCTCTTAACGTTTATTTGCTTTTTAAGGTTTATGGCCCAGCCGCGCTCCGAACTTTAAACCCCTAAAGCCTAAACCTTAACTTAAACCCTGAACCCCTAAACCTAACACCCTAAAACCCTGAACCAGGACACCTGTGGATGCACTGATCCAACGAGCTTTGCCTGGTACAAGGTCGAGTCGCAAGGCTGTACTTCTGCATGCCTCCAGGTGCGAACCGAGTGTATTGGGCTTTAGGATTTAGGGGTTTGGGGCTTTAGGGTTTAGGGCTTAGGGTTTAGGGCTTTAGGGTTTACGGTTTTAGGGGTTTGGGGTTTAGGGCTTAGGGTTTAGGGTTTAGGGCTTAGGGTTTTAGGGTTTAGGATTTAGAAGTTAGGGTTTAGGGTTTAGGGGTTTGGGGCTTTAGGGTTTAGGGTTTAGAAACCCTAAAAACCCTAAACCCCAAACTCTACCCTTAGCCTTAGGGGCTGAGAAGGTAACCTTTCCCCTTTCGGGGCTTATATAAGCCTACTACAATTCAAAGGTTAACCTTTTTTGGGCTAGGGTATTCAGCCTCTAAGAAACCCTAAACCCCAATCTCTACCCTCAGCCCTAAGTTAAGCCCAAGCCCTCAACCCATAGTTTCGGCTGATGATCTAAATCTTGCATTGCCCCTAATAAGGATTATACCATAATTCCCAAAGTTCAGGGCCCTTAAGGTAATGCAGGATCTATATCATCAACAGTACTTCAAGGATCATGGGAAGTAGTAACTAGGGTTATAAAAAAGGTAGCTGTACCTATAATTACTTATAACCCCAATTAAGGTACTTATAACCTTACTTACTAAGTCCCATGAGCCTTTAAGTAGGGGCCTTAGAGCTTGTTGCACGCAGCTGGAGACCCCCGGCAGGTTGGCAGGATGACTTTGCAGAATCGCAGCTGCCTTGATTCGCCGATAGACGTCGCTGGGCTTAGCACCGGCCCTAGACCCTAAACCCTAAACCCTGAACCCTAGACCCTAAACCCTAAACCCTGAACCCTGAACCCTAAACCCTAAACCCTGAACCCTGAACCCTAAACCTAATAAGCTTAACTTAGGATTTAGGACCCCGAGGCCGTCGGGGGTTTAGGGCTTTCAGCTCAAGGAATGATCCTAAAGGGTCCTAGGTACTGTTATGGGGGATACTTTCCCAAATCATAAAAGAAATTCCTAATATAGAAACCCTATGTGCTACTATATAGGTACTTTGGACCCTTTGGGGATTGAGGGTGGTTGAGTGTACGTGTGTATTTTGCACATGCATGTAGATATGTAGATTATGAATATATGTATACAATCTGTATATATATATATGTGTGTGTATGTATGTATATGTGTATGTATATGTATATGTATATGCATATGTATATGTATATGTATATGCATATGTATATGCACGGTAGATGCTGATGTTGTTGCAGATTCGTGTTCTGGGGCCAGCCGTGCCTAAGCCTGACACTTTCTGCGGCGTAGTGAAAGAGCAAACCATGGTCAGTGCGCCTTGGCACTGTATACAGTGCCAAGGCGCACTGACCATAGCTCCAGCGAACTCGGCGTAACAAGCGTAGCAGACCTGTGTCTAGCAAACCAGGCGCGGATTTGTCATAAAGTTCCGCGAAGCAGAAGACAAGATCTGGGCGACCACAGAAGGTGTGTGTGTGTGTGTGTGTCTGTGTGTGTGTGTGGCCAATTCGCCCCGAGTGAATTGGGGTCGTTCTCGGTTTTGGCCAAAGAATACTTGGTATTTTCCAAACGAAAAACAGCGAAGAGAAAAAACCGAACTAAAACAAAATTAAAAAATATGAGTTACTATAGAATCCCGGGTTTAGGATGGCTGCACACCACACGCGCCTTGGCTGGTTCTCGGCTTTGGCCAAGGAATGCTTGGTATTTTCCAAACGAAAAACAGCGAAAAACCGAACTAAAACAAAATTAAAAAATATGAGTTACTATAGAATCCCGGTTTTAGGATGGCTGCACACCACACGCGCCTTGGCGGGTTCTCGGTTTTGGCTCAGGAATTCTTGGTATTTTCCAACCGAAAAACAGCGAAGAGAAAAAGCCGAACTAAAACAACAAAAATATGAGTTACTAGAATCCCGGGTTTAGGATGGCAGCACACCACACGTTCCGTGGCTGGTGCTCGGATTTGGCCAAAGAATCTTTGGTATTTTCCAAACG